GGTTGCCAAAGAAATAGGATTACAGACTCAAAGGGTTTAACTAAGATACATAACAATTAGGTGGGTAAAATCATATAACTGGCTCAACAAAGCGCCTATATCACTTCCAAGCCTGAGCAAACTACTATTTCTTTTTGCAAACACACAGGGCAAGTTCTAAACATCAAATGCAATGCACATAATAATACAAAACCTCACACACACACATGGCACATAACTTACTCAGTATTGGACTCATCACGACACTCTAGTCAAAGTAGTTAAGCGAAGTTAAGATTATACAATTTAAGGTACTTATACAAGAGTCAAAAACTAAGCCTAAGTGTCACAACTAAAGCACTCACTATTCTCAAGGCATAACAAAGTCACGATATATTGCTTCAATTTAACTAATAGCACAAGGTTTCCTAGTCCTAACAAAAACAAAAAATAACTACACCCAGTTCAAACAAAACGCTTGGAAAAGAACCGCGGCCCAAAGAAAAACCAAGGGGGAATTCATACACTACCTAACAAAAGATGTTTTTTTTTTGTATTTTTCCTTCGACTTTAATCCCTCAAGAAACCTGTCGATATGATATCCATCGTTGGGAAAATCGAAATTTTTAAAAGTTTAATGTTTTTCTTTTCAAATTTTTTATCTATCTCTACTACTGCAACTAACAAAATAAAAACTAAAAGTAATATACATACAACATACAAACATCTCCCACCCCACACTTTATGTTGTGGCATGTCCCCAAGGAACACAATTAAAAAGAAAAAGGTAGAGAAACTTCCCTGAATATCTAGTCGGGGTATGAATCAAAGTCGAGCTCTATTCCTCGCACCCAAACTAGTGCACACATCCATGCAAACAACTTCTTCTCAGCCTTCTTGGGGTACACCCTACACTTATGTTTCTCACTAACTACAGCCTTTTCTTTCACGCCCTTCACCTTCCATTCAACTCTTGTAGATGGCTTCTCCTTTTTCACCTCAGTTGCTACATTCATCTCAAAAGTCACAGTCTCCTCACACAATATAAGAATGAGTTTTCTATCGTATATATCTAATATCTCTCTACCCATTTCTAAGAATAGTCTTCCTATATAACGACCCGATAGGTCGTTTTGAGAATTAACATCCCGTTCGGTGGTATAAGGTATTGAGAAGCTTTGGACTATGTGTTATGACTTGCGTGCATGGTTGAATTCAGTTACCGGATGATTCAGAGTCAATTTGGAAGAAGGATTCTAGTTTTGGAAGCTTAAGCGGTAAAAGTTGACTGGAATTTGACTTTTGTGTAAACAAATACGAAATGGGGTTTGGAAGGTTCCAAAAGCTTCGTATGGTAATTTTGTACTTAGGCGTGCATCTGGATTTGGAGGTTCGTAGGGTAATTTCAAGCATTTCGGCAAAAATTGGAAAAGTTGAAGTTTTGAAAGGTTGAGAGGTTTGACTAAGAGTTGAATTTGGTGATATTGGGACTGGAATGCGATTACGATAGTTGGAACAGCTTCGTTATGTTATTTGGGACTTTCCTGCAAAATTTGACATCATTCCAGGTTGATTTGATAAATTTCGGCGCGACTTTTGGAAGTTAAAAGGTTTGAAAGTTCACGAGTTCGATTCATGGTTAGATTCAAAGTTTAGACGTTTGATGTGATTTGAGGCCTCGAGTGAGTCCGTGTTAGGTTATGGAAATTGTTGGTATGTTTAGATGGGGTCCCGAGTGCCCCAGCTGTGTTTCGGATGGGCTACGAGCTATTTCTTTCTATTTTTGGACTGCTGACCTGCTGGTGTCTGGTTTCCTTAATCGCATTCGCATCAAGCGCTCCCCGATCGCATAGTGTAATTTTGGGGTAGATATTATTTACTCTTTACGTTCTCATACTTCTGTCTGTGTTCGCATAGGTGTGCAGTTCCTTTCTTCGCATTCGTGTACTGCCTCACGTGTTCGCGTAGCTCAGTCATTAGGCCATCAGAATTTCCCTCTTCGTGATCGCGTAGCACATTTTGGGCAGTAGCCATTTTTCATCTTCGCAATCATTCATTCTTCCGCGATCGTGATGTACAAACACCTGGGCAGAATATAAAAGCACTGTATTCCAAGGGTTAGCCATTTTTAACATTTTTGGAGTTCTAGAGCTCGGTTTTGAGCAATTATTTGTGGGGTTTTCAAGCAAATCAATTGGGTAAGTATTCTTTACCTAGAATTTTTTTTTTTTAGCAATCCGCTAGGCAAGCGCCTAGGGCTAATTTTTTATTAATAAAATAAAAATAAAAATACAACAATTAGGAAGAGTAGAAATAAGGGGGACAATAGCACCGGTATTGTTACACAAATGCCTTGGACTACTCTGCGCCTCACACTGCCTTATGATGACAGCCTCATGTAGAGGATTCATGGTGTAGCTGTCGGCAACGTCTCATGAGGGCATATAATCTCATAGACGTGTGGATAATTTCCAAAGGCATAGGACCAAGGCAACACAAACCGGGCTAAACCTTACCTTACTAATCCTATTGAGGCATACAATAGCCTAGAAAACTAACAAGCATGTAAAAAATATGAACTTGAAAGGACCAAATATTCTATGATCATCACAGAGTTTATAACATACTCTGTGATGATATTACAGATGAGGATACTAAGAAAGTGGTAAAATAAAATGTAGTACCCATTTGATTCTTGTCCTTTCTTTTCCAAATTTGTAAAATCTTCAATTTGTACTTCTTTGTCGATTCCCTCAACCGTGTGCAAAATGTATTCAAAAATCATCATTTCCTTTTTGAACGGTTGGACCTCGTAAAAGTAGTTGGGGCAGCCTGCTTTGTTTGGCAACTCTCATTGGAGGTCGCCTAACAATTCCTTCGTCACTCACCTTGCCTTCCCAGCTTTTATCTCTTGTACGAATGTTGTGATTTGGTCCGATGCGCGAGGGTGATAAATCCTGTTTCCTACACAGTGCAAAAATTGGATCGTCCTCTCTTGCTAAATTGAAGTCTATCCCCAAATTCAGAGATTGTGGAGCATTGGCACTCAGCAGTGATTCCAAATAAATTCTCTCATTATCTAACATAACTTGACTGATTGTAGCAATTTGCTTCTGTGCAGATGTTGGTGCTGTGACTTGTCGATGACCTATAGGACTATCAGCTGGAATAAGTTGTTGTTGTCCAGCATATGTCGAAGTCGATGCTAATTTAGACATTGTTGTTGGTTTTCGACCATAAGTATGTATAACAGGTGAATTGTTTGGATCAAGCTGTTGCTACCCAGATTGATTTGCGTCTAGCACTACAATCGAGTTGGCTTCAGGTATATTTGTGCCATTTCGCTGCTGCATCGCGTCGAGCCAAACTCTATCCTTATGTTGCTGTCCATCTTTTGGCACCTGAATTACTAACTGTGGACTGTTTTCAATTAGTTGTTGCTGTCCCGGATTTGGTGCTGCTTCATGTCGATCACAAATAGCAGTAGGAGTGTTCACAATTTGCTGCTTCTGCCTTCCAGATTTCTTGTTTGCTGCCTTTGCCTTCGAGCTAGTAACCACTGTGCTCTTTTCAATCTGTAGACTGCCTGTAGTCTGCTTCTGTTGTCCAGTCATGAAGCTAGTAGGAAAATGTTGCTGCCGTCCTGCATTTGGATACAATAGTGCATCACATTGAGTGCGTGCACGATGTTGTTGCATTCCAGGAGAATGATCATGAGCATAAGAAGCTTCTTGACTGCGTCGCTGCTACTGCCCAGATTATTGTTCAATGGAATCATCAAGCTCATCATCCACACCATTTTCCCAATGCTCCTTTTCTTCATACTCAGCTCGATCTGCCCAGGCTTTACTCCTTGGCATCATTCGATTTGAGCCATTTACTGGAGCATTTGAAACTTCTGATTTCTGCTTTGTTGCACACTTTGTGGTGTTTTTGGATGGCTGGTTCTTGGTGTTGCCTCACGTTTATAGCCTGTAATATCTAATCCAACACCAGCAGTAGCATTTTCCTACATAACTGCTGCACCAACGTTAGCAGATCCATTTGCTGTTGTAGTTCTACTAGCCATTGTACTAGTAGCAGCAGAAGTTGCTTTTTGGATATCCTGCTGCAGAGAACCCCCATGAGCTGATGCCATAACTGTTGGAGTTAAAATTTGCTCATGAACAAAAGCTGCTACTGATGGTGTTATAACACCAGTAGTTGCACATTTCAAAACAACAACATCACTTTGAATCCCAGATGGCCTAGTGACTTGTGTAACCACATCAAGGTTGTTTGAGATAGCTCGATCATCAGATGCCTCTAAAGATACAGCAGAAGCTGTATTCATATTAGCGTTCAATGGAACAGTAGCATCCAAAGCTGCATAATACTCAACAGAAGTACTGGACACCATTGTCCATTTTGCATCCTTGTTATCACTCTTTACACCCTCCTTCAAATCATCAGTAGCTCCAGGCTGTACACCTACTGTTTTTTTATTTGCTGCAGTATGTTTATCAATCTTAGACACCACTCGATCAACCATTCATTCAACAGAGGATCATCAGTTTTGTTTTCTATAATTGCACCAGCTTGGCCTGCATAAAGAAGCACATGTGCACTAGGTGTTTGATGCCCAACTTCATCAAATCTTTGCCTATCCCCTGGTCCTTTAGTAACCCCTGCTGCAGCACGATCAGGCACAGGATCACTGGACAATATAGCATTATCTGTAGTCACAGACTTATGTATTGCCAATGCTGTAGCAGCAGGGATAGCAGCTGCACCATTTACAACATCAGTATCAACATGTTTTTTCAACATTGCAGCAGTCCTGAATTGATCAAAACCTTCAGCACCTTTTACTACTGCTTTTCCCACAGGTGTAACAGGCACAATAGTATTTACCTGTGCCAGACTACCCTGCTCAAATCCCTGCTCCCTTTCAGCTTGTGCGTTTGGAAATTTAGCCTCTACATTGACAGTCTGCTTTGCATGATCAGTAGCATCTTTCAATGCCCCTGTTACAGCTTTCATTACATTAGCTTGGCCATTAACATCTTTTGATCCAACTTGTTTTCAAAGTCAGTTAGCAGCAGCTGCTGCTCGACTACTTTCATCTTTGCTGCTTCATCGACCAATTGTTCTGCCCTTTTAGCATTGAGAAACTCCTTAGCATCACCTTCTAATTTCTCAATACTGCCCAGCCCTTCAATTTTAACCACTGACGCAACTTCTTCGTTAGTTTTCTCCATCCTCCAACGACACGATTTTACGTCATGTCCTTGATTATTACAACAAGTGCAATATTTTGGGAGATTATCATACACAATCTCTTGATAATGTTCAACTAACTTCCCAGAATTTTTATCCACAATATTTATCCTAACTCGCTTAGGATGTTTAGCCAGTAAATCAAGTAACACCTTAACTCTGGCCGTACCTGGTCGAGTTCTATCTTGTGTCGCTTTGTCCACTACTAAAGGTTTGCCAACTGCTGAAGTTATGGACATTAGAGACTTCTTGGAAAAGAAATTTGCAGGTAAATCAGGAAAGGAAATCCAAACAACTGACTTTGGAGTTTCTTCTCGCGGATTAAATCCAATTGTCCATGGGAACGATCTAAAGAAAAACTCATCGCCCTTCGATTTAACATAACCTGTTGATCTTGATAAAACTTGAACAAAATCTTCAAACAAATCAAACCTTACCAGTACATGTCGATATTCTAATTGTCCAACATTACAGTAGCTTTTGACATCAAATTGTTTGGGTATCAATTGTCGCAACTCCTGAAGATTAGGTTTTCCATACGAGAACTTGAGGATGACTGCTTGATGTAAACCTTCTTCGATGGTGAATGCATTTACCTCTTCAATGGTGAATTCCAGAGTAGGTTCACCATGTTAAAACGTGACTGGACATAGCTTGAGTTTTGACGAATTTGCGGCAGAATGTTTTCCTTGTAGCTGCGTTAAATATGACTGTTTTGTATTGCTTTTTGGGGGTGTTTCTGTACTCGTTTGGATGGACTCTCCCACAGCTTGAAGCTGGGGAGAGATGACAGCATCCATGGCTACTCAAAATGGCTAATTTAGTTTTGGGAGCTAGGGTTTGCGCCAGCTGTTCTATGATTATATCTTTATTTTTTTCATTAAATTAGTATTTTGAGTTTAGGAAAAATGGGGATTTTGAAGAAAACTTTCACAATGTAAATGATGAATTGAGGGACGAATTGGTATCAGAATTTGATAATTTTGGTATGGTTGAACTCGTATCGGAATAGGTGTTTGGGTTATGTGAAATTTGTTGGGTTCCGAGGTGCGGGCCTGGGGGTCGACTTTTGGGTTGATTTTTAGTTATTGATAAAGGTTGATGCTTTATTATCCGGAATAGTTTCTATGAGTTTTATTTGTGGTTTGAAGTTATTTTTGGCTAGATTTGAACCGTCCGGAGGTTATTTCACTCGAGAGGTTCATTTTAGAGTGACAGTCTATCTTTTTTGAGGTAGTCATCTTGCCTAACTTCGTGTGGAGGTACTACTCATTAGGATCTGAGTCTTCTATGATAATTGTAATATTTGAAGTCCGTATACACAAGGTAACAAGTACGTGCACGAGCTTATTTATGGAAAGTTGACCTTTTAGGGTTCTTATGCTCTTATGTTCATTAAATATGAAGGTTTTTGTTATGGTTAAATCCCCCAATTACTAATTTCACCCCTACGTGTCTTAATTGGATTTAATTACTTAATGCTCTACTCTTATTGCCTATTTGACTTTTATGCCTTAACTGAAGTTGTTGCCTCTTCAATTACAATGCTATCTTTCTGTTTCTTATCCTTAATTAAGTTGCTGTATTATTTCCGTAATTTGCTCAAACCTAAAAGAAGTTAGTTATCCTTTATCATAGGTCTCATCCTTCATTGGAATTAATGACTTATGTTACCTCCCTTATTATCGAATTGTGTTTTTGTGAAGTTATTGTTGCATATTAGTTCTCCCTTGTTGTGCTATTCCTATTGTGACTAGTATTATCTATTGCGTTTATTCTTTGTGAGGTTGTTATATCATTTCCTTGCATTCTAAAGATCTTAAGTTGATTTACTTGCCGTATTCTCGTGTACTGTTGTTGTTGTTGTTGTTGTTGTACTCGATTTGTTGAGCCGAGGGCTATGCACAGTTGTGGTATTGGAACCATTTATAGGAAATGTTGTCGAATATGGGCACATGTTGTGAATGACATTCTATTGTGTTGTTGTGTTGTGGCACGTGATATTGTTGGGAGGATTGGTTTGGGTGTTTGCACGAGGTTTCTGCCGTACTATTGTTACTATTGATTATGCACATACGGCATGACAAGGAGGGCTATATCTGTGTGTTGCGCATGTGGCGAGAGAAGGTGGGAACATTACTATGTGTGTGTGACGAGACAAGGCGGGCATTTACTTTATTATTGCGCACGTGGAGAGACAAGGGGGCTGTATCAGGGATTGTTTATGGTGACTTATGATGTCCTGGGGGCATTATTGTTGTTGATATTTGTGTAGCGACGCACTTTCCCTGTGCAAGTTATACCATATACATTTTGTAGTGATTGTTTCTTATGCGTCATTCATTGTTTCTATTCTTATTAATTGGCCTGAACTATGATAGAACATTGGCACAAGCATACACGTAGTTAATCACTCCTAACATTTTAAGAGATGGATCCTAATGATATTGATCATTTTTACATACCCTTGTCTACTTTCCTTCTATGTGAGAATGACTCTATTGGAACGTGAGTCATCCGTGCGATTATAAATTTGTAATGAGGGCATAGGATGACAGGTGTTTAGGGTTTAGGAAGTGGGACCCATAAATTGTGAATATTCTGAGGTTTGGTACCTTATGGAGATTATTGGTTGAAACCTGGTGTGAAAGCGATCGTTGTATTTGAGTTGCTACTTGCCTTTCCTTTATTTGTGTTCACCGGTTTTAAACTATGTTCCACTTACTCTACTTTGTCATTATTTGTGGTGTTCCGCTGCTAATTGTTGCTTCCCTTTTCTTACTGCAATTATCGTGATATTGTTGTCATTATGCATAGTCTTTATATAGATATCGTACTCTGTTGTTTCTACCCTTATACTTGTTTAGGTTATCTTGTCCAGTAGGTGTCTTGACTCTCCCTCATCACTACACTACTCTACTGAGGTTAATCTTGATACCTACTAGGTACCGCTGTGGTGTACTCATACTACGCTTCTGCACAATTTTTGTGCGAATCCAGGTATTTCGAAGTTAGTCGATCATTAGCTAGTTGTGCGGATTTTTAGCTGCGGAGACTCAAGGTAAAGTTGCTGCTGCATTCGCAGGCTTCGAAGTCACCTTCTAATGTTGTTTTCTTACACTGTTTACCCTTATTTTGAAATAGTTGTATTTAGACGTTCTAGCAAACTCTATAGAGCTTATGGCTTGTACTTACGATATGGGATTGTAAACTTTGTATTGAGATTTCTTTTTCGCATTTGTCAATCGTTATTTATTATTGTTATTATTTCAGTAAATATTAGGATTACCTGGTCCTTAAGACTAGGGGCCATCATGACATTCTACGGGGGGAATTTGGGTTATTACAAGTTGGTATCAGAGCTCTAAGTTCATAGGTGCTACGAGTCATAAGCGAGTTTAGTAGAGTCTTGCGGATGGGTACGGAGACTATTATGACAGTTTCACTTCTTTAATTCCTATTGTGCAAGTTTATTGATCTCGAAGTTTTAGTTTTTATCATTCTATTCTCTTACAGATGGTGAGGACACGAGCTATAGTTATTAATAATGCTGCTCCCAGATAAGGTGTCATTAGGGGGAGATGTAGAGGCAGATGAGGAGCACATGCTGTAGCTAGAGAACTTACCAGAGCAACAGTTTAGGAGATGCCAATAGCTCTGGTTGGGGGACAGGTACCAGAGGCACTTGCGGTTACCCTCGGACTTCAGGAGACCTTAGCATTAGTTCTTGATCATGTTTGGTACCTTGGCTCAGGCGGGGTTGATTCCGGTAGCACCAGCTACTTCACAGATCAGGGGAAGTACCCAGACTCCCACCGCCCATACTTTAGAGCAGTGCGTTCCTGTTGGTCAAGTTCTAGGTGTCATGGCAACATAGCCTATAGTTCCAGTTCATCCCGTGGTTAGGGGAGTAGCATCTGAGCAATGCAGTTTAGACTTGCAAGGTTTAAGAAGTATGACCCTCCTACTTTCAGTGGGTTGGCTTCAGAGGGTGAACAGGGCTTTCTAGGGGAGTGCCGTCACATTCTCCACACTATGGGTATTGTGGAGATGAGTGGGAATTCTTTTACTACATTCCAGCTTAGAGGAACGACTTATCAGTAGTGGTGGGCATATGAGTTGGGTAGCCCGGCCGATCCAACTCCACCTTCATAGGTTCAGTTTTCAAAGATATTCTTGAGAGAGTTTGTACCTTAGTCCCTTCGGAATGCATGGCGCGCAGAGTTTGAGCAGCTGTGCCAGGGCACTATTTTAGTGTCAGAGTATGTCGTTAGATTCAGTGATTTGGCCAGACATGCACCTACTTTGGTCGCTACAGTTAGAGAGCGTGTTCGTAGATTCATTAAGGGGCACACTCATGATATTCAATTCAACATAGCTCGGGAGTTAGAGGTAGATGTCTCATTTCAGTAGGTGGTAGAGATCGCTCACCGATTAAAGGGCATGTGGGACTAGTCAAGAGAGGACAGGCGGGGCGAGGAGAGAGAGGGCAGGCAAGGTCAGGATATAGAGGATAGGGAGGCGAGGAGGCCTCGCAGACCGGAGAGATCCACTGGTCCTTACTTTGGAGGTAGGGTACGACATGGTAGAGGTTTTGTGGGTTAGCCAATTCAGTTTGCACTTCAGGCTTTGCATAGTGTTTCAGGTACTCATGGGTCTTAGAGCACCCATACCAGATAGTTCCCACAACAATGTAAGAAAAGAGGTTGCTTTGAGTGTGGAGATACCAGCCAAATGGTGAGAGATTGCCCTAGATTTCAGACAGATGTGTCATAATAGGATATTCAAGCGAGTAGAGGGCGCCCAAGAGGGGGAGGCCCGACTCATTAATGTGTTTCATGCATTAGCTTTGAGGCCGTTGTGCCAGATGATGTCATACATGTGTGCTTTTGATTTGTTACAGAGGAGCACCATTCATATTTTGTTTATGTTCTGCTTATCAGGGTGAGTTATCTTATTTTACTTCATATATGGGTGAGTTTTGTGGCTTTGTACTCTACCTGTGTGTTCTGTTGAAAGATTATATTGTGGTATCCCATGTTTATCGTTTGTTTTTATTCATTATTGAGAGTTATGAGACTAGGGGTGACTCTTTATTCCTCATTTTGGTAGGTTTTGATGTGATTCCTGAGTAATTTGGTTACGATTTGTTATTTAGCTGCTCTACCGGGGTTAGAGTTCAGTAAGTATTGTGATTTTATTGGCGGAATTGAGTTAGTGGAAGGTTGCGGTTGGTATGATGTGTATTCTACTTATGATTCAGAGTTGAGGGTGAGACCCTCGTGATTTCATGTGATTTAATGTGGTTGAACCAGGTTGCGTGCTGCGGTGAAAGTTATATCAGGATGAGAACCTTATGATTTGTTCCTATACTTTGATTTTTCCTTGTAAATTGATTCGTATGATGGTACTGAAAGGGAGTTGTGCATGTCGGGCTTGTTTGATATTTCTCTTAAGTGTTTCTCCTTACATATCCAGTCATTTTCATGTTTTGCTTATTGCGTTTAGCTTGAGTGGTGTGTGTCCAATGGCGTTAGATGTGACTTGTTGATTCGGGTGAATATTTATGAGGTCTTCATGTTTCTTGCATCATTGTCAGTATTGTGGAGGTTTGAAATAGGGTTCTAACAGATATGAGGCCAATTGCCCATGTTGGATTTGATTATGGGTAGCTATTTTGATCAGAAATATTATTATGGGCCTATGTGTGATGTGTCACATAGTGTGGTTGTACTTTGTGGGTGCAGGCGTAAGTTGTTGCAATTGGTTGAGGTTGATACCAGGTGTTAATGTAGGAATC